CAAAAGCAAACAAAAACTGAGCTTATAAAAACCCGTCTTCAGTAAGCGTTCCCCGCATTTATGAGGTTTATTCTTAGGTGAAACTAAGAGCAAATAATTTCAACAGGATTTATTGAAACTTATGCTTAGGTGAAGTTGAGAGCAAATAAGTTCGACAGGATTTACTGAAGCTTATGCTTAGGTGAAACTGAGGGCAAATAATTTCGATAGGATTTACTGAAGCTTATGCTTAGGTGAAGCGAGGGCAAATAAGTGCAGTTGGATTACACAAGAATTGCAGACAATTCCAAATCGTTGCCTCTTGCAGCCTGCAGCTGTGCACAACAGTTATACCTTTGTTTTTTTGTCTTCAATATCTCACAGAAGCAAAGGCTGACTTCATTCCCAGGTGTCCATTCTGTCCTGTTTTTGCCCACTCTATGGAACTTTATTCGCTCTCAGCTTTATCTAAGCATCAGTTTCATAAATAGGAAAGTCTGATGACGGTTTTTGTGGAACAGCTTTACCTAAGCATCAATTTCATAAAAAGGGAAGTCCCAGGAGCGCACTTCCTCATCCTTTCCGTTCTTTACCGCTCCCCTCTCCCCTCAAATGTACGTTACTTAGTCAGTCGACAAAGGATCTACGTCATTTAGTCCTTATATCCACGTATCCTAGCCCTCCCCCCTTGCCTCCAACGAAACCCGCCACATACCACCCCCACTCCCCCCTCCCACATTCAAACTGCTGTCATCCGTCGTCGAGCAGCCCTGTCTGGAGGGAAGGGGTGCCCCTGTAGGTTTTTTTAATGCTCAGCATGACACTTAGTGCTGAGGCGCAGTTACCAGTCTTGAGTGCGACACTTAGGATATTACCTGGAGGGAACTCGGCTCTACGATTTCCACTACTCGAACCCGCATCCAAAATGGGTGCATATTGGGCGTCTAACTTCCTCTCAGCACCCAGTTGAATACGAAGCATAAAAAACCCATATGGACTTCCTTCTCGTGGGTCCCGCTTGTTTCCAAATCCTACCTCTAAGCGAGGTCTTTCTACCACGTAGCTCTACTTCTCTTCCCTCTTACGACCCTCGAGGCCTAAATCATCAGCCGTGACCTTCGTCTCCCTCCTCCCCTCTTTTCCACGGTCCCATCACTCACACTTCCCCAGCACTACCCTCACAGGCAGCAGGACTCGCTCCCCGGTCTGGCTGAACGAAGCCGAGCTTTAGCAATTGCTCGTCGATGAGGCGAGCTTGCGTTGCCAGCCGTGCTTGGCCAGATTTGTCTGCTTGGCTGTGCATGGGCCTCGTATCGATTTCGTGGATTTGTTCTGGCTGGCAGGGCTACGTTAAGCCATTTGCGTGTGATGTTGTTGCTGCATAAATAGGTGTGTTTTTCAGGGCTGATAAGTGCAGTGGTGTGGATGAGCATGTAATCATCATCGCTGTCAGTGGGGTCTGTTCAGTTGCGATGAGTGATATTGCTGGTGCGAGCACAGGTAATCAATCTTCCGTGATACTTTGACCCAAAAGCACGGAGAAGCGCGACACTCGC